TTTCGGTATTTCTTTCTCAATACAAATTACTGGTTAAATTCGTCTACAAATTTGTTGGTTTCAATATTTTATTCTTTTTACTGTTATTTGACAGTCTTCTGAATTACTTATTACATTTGTACATTAAACATTTGAAACCGTTGTTTATGTGTTAGTATCTTACCATGCTACGTAATTTTACGAAAAATTTTAGTATATTATTTATTGTATTGCATATATCGTTTCGTCAGTTATGTATTACTTTGTTTAATTATATATCGTATCATCAATTATGCATTATTTTGTTCAGTTACATATTCTTCGTTAATTATGCATTATCTTGTTCAATTATATATTGTTTCGTCAATTATGCATTATTTTGTTCAATTATGTATCATTTTTGTATTATTTTGTTTAATTATATATTGTCTCGTTAAACATCATGCTTTGGTATCGATTTCAAAGCGCTATAACAGATCACAAATAATCGTCGGAAATCGATAAAACAGCTTACTATTATTTCGTGAAAAATACGAAAATCGTCACGTGATATTATTATTAACCGGCAGCTGACATAAGTTCGCAATGCTAATCTCATCTCGTACGACAAAAATCCAACGGAGAACAATTGGAAAGTTTGGCGATTCGCCAGAAAAGAAAAGAACGCCGAAAAAAGTTTCTCCAGCAACGAAATTTCTTAACGTGTTGGAAAATCGTGCGGAACGTTTCGGTTCCGCGCGCTCTAGGATCGCACGTTGACTGCGGCTTTCAATGGCTTATTAAATAATTCGTTCACGTTCAAAAATTCATTTTTCTGCTGACATATTGAGCGCTCCGAATTTGGTTGGAGCCCGCGAAGTGCGCAGGGGTTGAAATAGCAATTACCGTCATAAATCTTCGCTTTTCTATTCTTATTTCATCGATACCGCAAAACGGACGTATCAAAATCTCATGTTCTCTATATCGTACATTATCGGCACCGGAAACGGTTGTCTTTTTTCGTCAGCTTCGATTACATTTAACAGGAGTCCCCGTTGATTTCTTCTAACGACGGACGTTCCTCTCATCGAATTATGGTATTTCGAACAGCGCGACGGTGTACTGAGTGCATATTAATCACCATCATATAGCTGATTGCAATTGAGAAAAGTATTCTCTGAAGAATTTCAACGCAGGACGCACATCCCTTCTTTCTACAATTCTGATTAATAAACTCGGGATTTTATGCGTTCACGCCAAAAATGGGTAAAAGAAATACAGAAGAACAGAGAAAAGAATATTGAAATTCTTTAAAAAAATATTGAAAGAATATTGTTATAGTATTTTCAATTTATTGAAATTCTTAAAAGAAAGGAACATTTTTATTACGCTTCTGTTTTGTACAATTCGTGTAAATAATTTTTATTTCGATCTTATTTTGATTTCCGCTATATCATGTTGCATAAAACGCTATAATTTTGTTTAATTGTCGTGATCGGCAACTGTACGCCGAATGTATACAATTCTGCCGATTTCAATTCGGACCTCCGAACATTTCCGGGAGAAATTACTGTACTCCAGAATTACTGTGTTCCACGTTATTATGCAATGGTCAATGATAATATAATCAAATATTATTATAAAACAATAAATTAATAAAACATTATTATGAAAATAATAAAATAATAAAATATTATTACTTTATTAATATTATTTTATATATATATAATAAAACGAAAAA